GAAATTAATCATCAAACAGTATTGATATATTACATGCATACATTCATACATACAAGTGATTAAAAGTTGTTTTATTCCTGTTTATCAGTTATTTTGAGAACTAAGAGATCTGCCTCTCATTCCACCTGCAGAAACAAGACAACCAACTTTTATGCATCACTCTAACAAAATGTTTAAGAAAACAATTTCTTAAAGCTCCAAAGGCATCAAAGCCACAGGTCACCTATGAATTTATCCCGGCAGATGTTGGAGATGGATGAGACGGTAAATAAGAATAATGAAACCCTGAAGAAGTTACGCCAGGAGAACACAGAACTCAGAAACCAGAATCAGAAAAACCAACGCGATATCAGCTTCCTGAAATCCACGGTACGCAAGACATTTCTGACGTTTACCTTGTCCTCACCAAGTTCTTTAGAAATCATCTTCTCTTCATTATGAACAACCCAGAATGAGGACCTGAAGAGCCAGATAACGGAAATGGAGGAATACTACCTGAAAGAGACTCAAACCCTTCAGGAAACCATCACAGATCTTGAGGCTGAGAAAAACGAAATGAAGGACAACATGGTCCAGCTCCACGAGTACCAGGACCTGCTGAAAGTGAAGATGGCGCTGGATCTGGAGATCGCCACCTACAGGGAGCTGCTGGAAAAGGAAGAGAGGAGGTAATGTACACAGAGTTCGTCTTTCTAGTTTCCCACAGTTTTGATAATTATATTTGATGTGCTCCTTTGCAGACTTAAACCATCTGAGCCCAGCAATGACAACCCGAGTGACGAAGGCAACTGCTGCTCCCGTTAAACTGTAATCCCTCCCTAGGGAAGCTTAAAGAAGCACTACTGTATTTATTCCTTCTTTAGGTCAAAAGTATTATAATTTGTGTGTTTTAACATCAGAATTTGATCAACACTCATATTAAGTTTAATATTTTCCTTTTGTGGCGAATCAAACCTCTGGAAACATGAAGACTCCTCTGATGACGAGCAGGTAAGGCATTTTGGATTTTCTACCCAAAAGGAAAAAATATTTTTGGTTTTTCTTGGAACTGAGGTTAAGTCGTCAAAAACTGAAAATGATCTCATCCAGGAGGTGGAAATGAGTTGAAATATCTGAGATTTCAATGGGTAAATTGTTGAACAGTCCAGCTTTGATAAACACCAGATCTTATCTAGAATGGTGTTTTTGGTAAATATTACCGTCCTGCAGTTTGGACTCTCAATCACTTGACAAAGGAAAAAACTGTTAAACATAGATTCAATCTGTAATTTGTTTTGTTTTGTTCTTGAGTTGCGATGAATCCTAACCTAGACTTTTTTTTTTTCAGGCACCTGGTATGCTCTAAACCAACTGGTGAAAGATGCAAGGACAATGAAGAAATAAAAAATTCAACACAACTGGGGAAAAAAAAACTGTTGGCAAAGTAATCATTAAGGCCTGAACTGACTTCTTTCGCTGTTTTATCTCTTGCTACAATTTGAAAATGTTCGACATTTGAAACTCAGAAATTTCCACTTTTTTTCTAGATTAATTTCAATATTTCTTATTTTTTCCTAGCAATTTTCTTCAGAAATTTCCAAGTAATTTCTAACAAAACTTTTCATTTTAGTCTCAAAATTCAGATTTTTTTCTAGCAAATTTTTGAGTTTTTAAACTTGGACATTTCCAAGGTTTTCACTAAAAAAATTCTCAGTTTGTACAGCAAATTTTCAAGCTCAGAAATTTCCAAGATTTTTTATGGAATATTTCTGAGATGAATCTCAAAATGTCTTTGTGTTTCTTTTCCATCCATCTTCAGCATCTCTAATACACTGTTGTAGATTTATGAGGATTTATGTGGATAAACACTTTTCTGAAACTATTTCTATGTGCATGGACAATATTATTTTTGTTAAACAATATGACGGACGTATTTATTTTTTTAAAGACCTGACTATGTATGTACAAGGCTGAGAAACTTAAACACAAAGGGAAAAGGCCTGACAATAAGAGAAATAAATAAAGATTTACAAAGAATAAAACAAGAATAAAGAGACTGGACACAAAGAAATAAACTAATATGGAAACATCTAATGGAATTAAATAAACAAGGAAATGATCATAAAACAAATGTTAAGGAATCTTTATAAAGTCATGGTTAACATGGGGAGTGGTGTTGATAAGCTATCAGCGATATCCGGCACAGGACGGGTTCAGGTGGGGCCTCATTTTTAACATTCCAGAAAAATAGTAAACATGTTTACCTCCAGCGTCATTCAACCATTAAACATCTAGAACTGAATTTCTGCTTGGCGTAGAGTAGAATGAGCAACCAAAATAGTTTCATATAGAAAATATTTTGAAAAGGAAATGTTTTGAAAGTTTTTGAGCATATCATTTGTTCTTGCTGTAGTGACAAAAAACAGTTTCATAAGAAAATCTTCTGAAAGTTGTTTTGAAGGAAAAAATGTTAAAAACATTTTAAGAAATGAGTTTCTGATGGCAGTCGAGTGAGCAACAAAAACCATTTCCCCACACATAGTTTCAGAAACATTTGTCACATCAAATTGGATTTCTACAGAGTGAGCAGGATTTTGTTTACTGCTCAGTTTCATTTTGTGCTCATTTTGGCCCTGTTAAATGATTCAGATCAGGTGAGGCAACACCTTTTTAGTAATAATCAGAGAAATGAACTAAATAACCAAAAAGATGCAAATGAGAAAAGAAAAAAAAATCCAAGAATCAAGTTCTGAAAATATAAACCCTTAGAAATATTTAAATAGCTTTTAAGATTTCAGAAAAAAGTTCTTTAGAGATAATTGAAAACTGCAGGAGTTTTCTGGGATTTAACATTTCCTGTGATAGTTTTAGCTTTGAAAAACTCAGCTGTGTATTAAAGCAACATCAGGGTGGAATCAGGCTGATGTTGTCGCTGTGAACGCTCGGGTAGCAAAGGGGGTTTATCATCTTCACACGTCTCTGCAGGAGCTGATGGTGTCAGAAATGAAGCATTCCTGAAGAAACAGCTTTTCACAAACACACAAGAATGTCTGGTCACTAATAATCCTTCTGCCTTTTACAATTATTATTTACATAAAAGGGAGTTTTTTAAAACTGTAATATGCAACATTGACATTTTATTGGTTGAAACTTACAGACTGAATAATGAGAAACACTAAAAATATTGTTGTACTACTCATTCAAGTCAATGTTTACACATTTGATAACTAAACTGTGGTGTTTTTTTCAATAATTCAGTTTTAATGAAACGCTCTGAATGCTAATGAGGACAAAAATCCAAGATGGCGGCAGGCACCACCGTACAAAGACTAACAACACAGAGGCAAACCTAAAAAAGTCAGAAAAAACAGGCCTGAATCAAGACAAATGAGGAACACCCGAGAGGGATACAAAGTAGTGGAAGGAAAAATGACTGAAACTCTGCAGCATCAATGGACATTAAGATGTCAAACAAAACAGAAAATCCTTGATTTAAAGTACTAGAATGGGTAGAAATGTGTTGTTTGTGACATGTGAGGGCCAGGCCACAGTTTATCTTTTCTAAAGAATCTCCTGAACTCGTTTCCACGTCATAGATTCAGAATCCGTCTAATCTGTAACATCAAACAAACACACATGCTGTAGCATTAGCTTTTAGAGTTAGCATTCTTCAGACAGTCTCAACAACAACTCCCGTCTGTGCCATTCATTACAGGCATTTAAAGACAAAATTAGAATTAATCATCTAATTCATGATCCTACAATCAGGTAAATCTAACTCACACATTAAGTTTAAAACCAGAAAAAAAAAAATCTAAAATTAAAAAAACTTCAAAAACTGTTGAGATGAAAAATAATTCACCAATCAGCTGACAAGAAGTTCCTCAAACTCCAAATATGGGATTATTTCCTGTCTTCATGTCATCGCCCAAAGCATTCTCTTGTCCAATCAGCTTCTTTCTAGTCAAAGTTGAAAAAGATCTGGATCAGGGCTGTGAACAGCGCCTGCATAAAGAGACGGAGAAATAATTTTACTGCATCATCAGCCTGCAGGTTTTCCTCTAACAAACGGTAAGATGGGACGTTTTTTAACATTTCCTGCCATTTTTACTTTACTGAAGCTGAATTATGTTCTTCAAATACACATTTCTATTGATTTCTGTAAATTCAGATCTATTCCACCAACATGTTTTATGCTAAAATGATGAATTTTGCTGAAATTACTAAACATAAAAGCAATGATTGTTTTCTTCTAAATGTGATCATTATTACTATAAAATCCATCAAGTCAATCCTGATAAACATCTTATATCTGTCTGGACACAGTGAAGCTTTTAACTGTAGGGAGAGACACTGGTACCAGTGGGTTGTGGGCAATTTCCACTCAGACAAGTGACTTTGGAGAACCGACACCTGGTCAGGAGAATCCATCAACTCATCTCCAACTACTGACGAATGTGTTTCAGTTCCCATTTGATTGTGGATGGTAACATATCAAGTAGAAGTAATCTCCAACCCTACAGCAATCCTTTACATGGAAACTGGATAACAGTGGAGAAACACGAGGAAGGAGACAAAAGGATGGGTTGAGTCTCACACATGGAGGATGTCAACAACTAATGATGAATTTACTGACCTTAAAAATATTATGATACTCCTGGAAAAGGAGTTGAAGGTGCTGGAGAGTCGGTCAGCAGAGGCTATTGAAGAAAACTTGTCTTTCTGGTTTTAAGGAACTTTTTTTCCCACCAAAAAACCTACAGAGAGACAAAGAACGAAAATCAGAACTATTAGAATAAGACGACAGCATATGGGTGTTTATGAACCCTTGAAAAAGCTCTTTGCTCAATGTTTTACTGTCAATACATTCTGAAAAACTAAATCTTTAACTTGTGCTCAACAAAAACAGTTTGTAGACTTTATATGATCATATTTACTTTTGGCCATTTTCTTCTCCATCCGTCTGACCATGTTAATGAGACGAACCTTTCTGCGACCATCAGCATCTTTTCCACTTGAATCTATGTGATGATATTGAAACCAGATGGCATCTCAAACAGTCTCCCAACAACATTATCCTTTTGCAGACCAAGGATATAGATTACTGGAAGAAGATCATAAAGAAAGATACGGATATCAGGTTCAGTAGCTTTCTTTTTGAAGTCCGCAGCCCTGACTTGTCTGAGATTCTGATGAAAATACGGGAGGAGATAAGTGCCATCACCAGAGCTAATGTTCAAGAGACTGACATGTTCAAAAAAAGGGTAAGAGATGTAGGTTTATTAAACACTTCAACGTTTTGAACAAGAGATTTAGTGAGATTTATCTGTATAAAAAAGGCGTCAGAAACTGTCAATAAGTGTAACATTTTTACCAATAACCTTTGTGCCTGTAGATTACAGAGTTGAACACGATACTGAGTAAGAAAGACGACGAAGTTCTTGAGTCCGGCCGCAAGATCTCAGAATTCGATCTCCAGATCCAGTCCAACACTTGTGAGATCAGCACACTCAGAGCCACAGTGAGTAAAACCCACTTCTGACATCTGATCTATTCTGTCTGAGCCAATAATGATCCAATCTCCTCTTCTCTATAAAAACAAAACTCAGATCGAAGGCCTGAAGAGCCAGATACTGATATGGTGGAATCCCACAAGCTGGAGGTCAAAGGTTTGCAGTGGACAATCTCAAGGCTCAATGAAAAGATCAACACTAAGGAGAGTGAGTTGGTGTATCACATCCGCAACTACCAGAGCCTGCACGACTGCAGGGTAGCGATGAATTTAGAGATCGCGGCCTACAAGCATCTGCTGGAGCTTGAGGAGG